TCTTTCAAGACTAATGTATTCATACATACAAATTTGCTTGATATATAAAGTTCGGTTTTTAAATGCAGAAGACAAAAGCCTCCATATCTAAAAGATAAAATGGTATTCTTCTACGAATAAATACTGCAAATAGCAGTAAAAAAGTCATATATAGTTTTCATATGTTGATTTATATTTATTATTAATGCGACTGTTTTCTTAAACACATTTTGATTGGCTAATACAATGATTTTTGAAGCAGTAAAATGAGCATTAACGTGAATGTAAGCCTTTTAGCTCTTCTGATCCAAAGGCTCAAAGAGATAATGTTATGGCCATTCGTGCAATGTGCGTAAACTTTTTAAAATATGGGCCATAACTCAAAAACCCATTGGCCAATCAGAGTCAGATTTGTCAAAGGTTATCTTTTACTCAACGGCAATCATTTATACTAGAATTAAGGTTGGGACACTTAAACAAAGGGAGATAATCAGGAAATAAAACCAAAAGTACTGATGGCTAAAAAATCTTCTCCAGAACCACCGGGCAGATTTTCACCAAACTTACTTACAAGGATCAAGATATGTTGAAGATTAAAATTTGCATGGGGAATTACCCTTGGGGGCCAAGGGCGTTGTCTCTATGTTACTTCAAAATTGACCTAAATTTGCACTTAATAAAACGTTTATATTTTGCTTTCTGTAAGGACTAGGATCATCAAATCTTGTAAGTTGATGCATCATAGTATTTCTCATTATGTTAATTCAAAAATAGGTCACGGCGACTGACTTTTTAAATTTTGCGGGCATTTGTTTTCAAATTGATTTGAAGGCATATTTTTGACACTTTAAGGCCTATAACAATAAATTTTGTCAGTTGATGCATCTTGGGTCCCCAAACAACGAGATTCTAAAAGTAGGTCATCGTGACGTACTTTTTGAACTTCATGGCTAATCCTTTCTATTAACATTAAATCTCATTATCTCAGACACTGAGAGGTTTAGAATCATCAAATCTTGTAAGTTGAGGCATCTCAGGATCTTAAACCATATTCATAAAAAGTAGGCCACTTTAACATGATTTTTAAATTTTGCAGGCTTTCAAAGAATGTAGACAGAAAAGTTAATTTGGAATATCTCAGGTATTTATTGGCTTACAATCAACATACTTTGTCAGTTGTTGTATCTTTGAGTTTCCTAAAATGTCACTACACTAACAAAGAAATACTATAGTTAACTATAGTTTACTATAGTTAACTATAGTTATAACTTTGACACTTTCATAACTTTGATTTACTATAGGGATAACTTTGACACTTTGAAAAACTTTGACGAAAACCTTGACACTTTGAAAAACTTCGGCGAAAACTTTGACCCTTTGAAAAACTTTGGCGAAAATTTGACTTTTTGAAAAACTTTGGCGAAAACTGACACTTTGAAAAACTTTGGCGAAAACTTTGAAACTTTGAAAAACTTTATCGAAAACTTTGACACTTTGAAAAACTTTATTCGAAAACTTTCACACGTGGAAAAACTTTGGCAAAAACTTTGACTTTCTGAAAAACTTTGACGCTTTGACGCTTTGAAAATCTTTGGTGAAAACTTTGACACTTTGAAAAACTTTGGCGAAAACTTTGACATTTTGAAAACTTTGGCGAAAACTTCAACATTTTGATACTTTGTAGAAAACTTTGACACTCTGAAAAACTTTGGCGAAAACTTAACATTTAGAGTGACATTACGGCGCATCTCTTCAAAAACAGACTTGTTAAAATTATTCTATAGGATTTGGAATTTTTTTCATACTCATAAATGTATACACTTTCAGAAAATTACAAATTTCATAAGTAAATTATTCTGATTATTTCATTAGAATTAATAATTATTTATGGCCAATAAATATATATACATTTAGAACGTGTTCGACATTACGGCGCATCTAGTTTATTATAAACAAAACAGCATGGTAAGAGAGCTTCCCGGTAGGCTTGCTACATTGACAAAGTCGACCAAAACGAAAAACAAAACTAGTCAAAGTACTGAGACAGTACTGAAAAACGGGGTCAAAATAATTTTCATGCTAGATTTCACAAATTTGCTTTTTTTAACGAGTTTTGATAATTTTTTAAATAACAAATTAAAAACAAAACTGTGAATAATATAAATTCGCGTTTTTCATTTAATTTGAAGTAGAAATTTCAATAATTGCTAAGTCTAGAAACCTTTTTGAATTATTTCATGGCCAATAATATATATATATGCTTACGCAGTCGTAATACTACGCAGGAGAGTACTTTGTTTACTAGCGTGTTTTACAATTAATATTTTACGTGTACAAAATGCTTTCATTAATTTGATTTAGAAAAAAAGGTCATATCGCTTTCTTCAGTTTGATACAGAATGTTTATATTTTGGTCAAAACAATTTCTGCACTCTTTCATATAGCGTAGATTTAATTCATGTGTTATCACCACGGCTTCCTGTTTGAGGGCTTTGACAAAACGAAAAACAAAACTAAAAATAGGGCTTGAAATTAAACAGCAACTTTCCTGACAAAAATTTAGTTGGGAGATTAATATAATCATTGGATGAGGAAGAAACGGGATCTCCGCGACATTCACGTGGGGCTTGCGAAGGTTCTGACCTACAGGCTTGTTGATACATGCTATTATTTCTCGTATCTCCCTGGTTTTCAAAGAAAAAAAATCAGTGTAAACTCAACGTAAAAATGCACTTATGACATATGAAAATTATTGGCAATGGAAAAGCAAATTGTATTGGGTCTGCAGAAATATATTTTGTTTGACATTTTGCCGCGATGACGTATGATTTGGTGGATTTTCCTTTGCAGCACCCCAATGCACATAACGTCAACAATATACATTTATTATCTGAGTTCGAGGGCAACATGCGTTTTGTCGGACCCAAGAACCAAACTGTCTGCCTGTGGGCGTTAGGCCGAAGGCAGAGAGTTTGGTTCGAGGGTCCGACAAAACGCATTTTGCCCGAGAACTCTGTCAATAAATGTTTTTTTATACCTTTCATTTTATTATATATTTTTTGACATACATGTATTTTGTACTATATTCCGTAATGTAACATATATTAGATCTGTCACTGTTTAAAACCAAAGAATGAAAATAAGATTAAGCTCCGCCCATTCAGTGACGTAAGCAGTCCAACATCTCTCCGAGCGATCCAACATCTCACTCAGCGGTCCAACATCGATTTTTTTATGCCCGCTCATCAAAACAGTAAAAATGTTAGACTTTTTTCTGTATAGATTTGTATAGGAACAAATTTTTAAAGGTATAACAATTGTACTTAATCATGTTAAATTCGTCAATGCAGACTAATATGTTAACAATTATTAATTTACCGGAGAGTTAAGATATTTTGATTCTTAGAATTGCTTTTACTTAATATTCCATTATAATTGTAAACCCTACACTGTATGCACGTGCCATTTTAGAATTCACGTGGTACAAATAAACAGAACTTAGTTGTACGACCCTTGATTTTCCGGCAGATTTTAATTACGTTAATTTTACATGAGGAGAGAATATTAATTTTTCTTAAATTCTTGCTTCAACTTTTTACCTTATTCCAGAATGATATATTGGGTAAATTTGAATGAAAAGGCACACGATTTGCAGCCGTATTACCGCTTTAATATTTAGTACAATATGAAAACAATCACATAGCACATATGTGATAATTATTCATGAAGGTATTCTTTATATTTGAATGGTGAATTCATTGCAACTCTAAATATCGATTATACATTGTATTGTCGATAAATTTACCATATGTCTAAGGAGCTATTTGTCCATAACGTATTGCAAACAAAATGCTATAAATTAAAATATTAAATCTATAATAAAACAACAAAATTCACTTGATTAGGTAATAAATATGACTACTCCAGGCCGCTTTCAAAACAACATTACGCAGCAGAACATGTTTCCCCTATTGTATTTGAAAAAAAAAACTGAACTTTTTGATAAATGTTTAATTTCAGTGTTATAAAATTATTTCGTGTATTAATCATAAATCGAAAAACACAATGAATTGTTATAATTCATCTATATCATTATGTTATAACAAGAAGTCATTCAAAAAAAGGACTATTTTTGGTTCTTTTTTCAACTATAATTACCTTGGTAAGTCTGAAAAGATTCTTCTTTGGTTTTAATATTTATACTACTGTAAAAGCACAAATATTCGTGGGGGATTAATTTTTGTTTATTTCGTTGTTAACAATTTTCAACGAAGCTAAATCCCAAACGAAATATTATATGACTATATATTGAATAGGGTTACTTCAAAACAACAAACTTAAATGCCAAGGAAACTACTTTTGATGACAAATCAGCAAAATTTTATCCCCACGAAAATCTGTGCTTCTACAGTATATTCTACACTTAATTCTTAGATCCTTTTCAAGGTACATATAAATAGTCCACATAGGATCTTTCAGTTTAAGTTATTTATTGACCGTGAAGTTTATAGAATAATCTGACTCGAGCATTAAGAAATACTGTAGAAGTGGAAAACATTACGGTGTTTTTAATTTCACTATGTTCACGATTTAAGAATTTTCCGCGAACTTTAAACCATCGTGATAATTATTTAATGTCATTTCTACCTAGAAACATTCATGGTACCTGAATATTTACAAACGATTCTCCGTGAAATTAAAACCACCATGAAAGGTAACTTTCTAGCAAACCGTGAAATTTTAGACACGTGAAATTAAAGACGTCTACAGTAATAGTGGAATCTTTAATTGTGTTTAATTAAAAAAAAATTCTAGGATTAACCAGATTTTTAAATCCAAAACAGTTATACCAGGTTGTATACTTATCCTTTAATGTCCTACAGATCTATACCCAACCAAATATGATTGACTTTATCGTTATGTCTTGCTCTCTCCTATTTCCCGGGAAATATCAGTCGTGGGTATATTCGAAAAATTCGCTGAAATTCTAAGGATATGCATAGTTTGTCCACTTTTTTTCATTAATTTTTAAGTCATTTTTAGCGTTTTCTTTCGAATTGTTTTGAAATCAATATCAGTATTCATTTTTTTTCCTGTATTCTAAAAGTCCATCATGTTTTTAGCAATCAAACATAAAGACACGTATACTATAACCAGAAAGTTCCCTTCTTTCAAAGGTGAAGAATTGGTTTCATCAGTTGTGGTGTCCATAGTTGTCATGTCGGAACAGGTCAAGTTTGCAGCTGATAGACTGACCAATGAAATTCCTTTTAAGTTCTCAGGAGTGAAGCAGCGTGGATCTCCAGATACGGTGACACGTCCAGAGTTAAGGAAATCGACCAGGCCTATCAATTCGCAATCGCAGTGAAAAGGATTATCATGTATTCTCCTGGATAAAATAAAAAAAATTCATTCATTTGAATTCCTGAATACTATTCAACCTTTAAAAGAAAGAAAATGGTGAACAATACTTTACATATATACTAAAAAGAAAAAGAAACGCAGAATTTGAACTCATCAAAGAAATTTTGGAAAAGTATATTTAGCAGCAATCCTTTTTTTTTTTTATAATTAAATATCCGTGACCTATTCAAAATACACTATGGACCTTTAAACCCCAATTGTTTAATCATTTCCCTTGATTAGTAATGTTTATGTTTTTTGTAAATTGGGGGGTCTTTTTTCAGTGAGGTTTTGGATTTAGAGAAACAATAAACACATCGATTAAACCCATATTTTTGCTTTTATTGTAATGTTGATGCTGTAATGCTACGTCTAAGCAAAGATAAATTCAACAAGGCTCTAACAAGGATTCAAACCGGACCTACGCAACTGGAAGTTGCAACTGCATTTGGTATATATCAGTCGGCTTTGCAGCAGTTAAACGCACGTTTCCACCATCTAGGAACATATAGATGACAGATCTAGAACCACACCCAGAAAGGACCGTCAGATCCTCCCTCAGCACCTGCGCAATCGACTCAGAACTGCTGTACAAACTGCTAAATCAGCATAAAATGCACAAATTGTTCGCAAAAGACTGAGACAGAGAAGCTGGTATTCGTGCATGTCGTCCCTATACTAGAAATCCACTAGCGCTGAGAGGTGGCAAAGGACATATGGATTGGTAAATGTCTCTAGAATTTGGAGGCAACGTCAATGACATCAACTTCACTTGTCAAGAACAAAGTACGGTATTAGCAATAATTCGCCGAAAATAATACGATCATATTTTAATCTTCTTTGTACAATTTTTTGATGTAATGCTTTGAAGTAAGGAAGATGCGAACTAAATTCTACAGGCACAAAAATGACGTAATTTTTAACTATGACGTCACTAATGCGCGCTAAACCTGGAATGGTCGTGTAAAATCGTTAAATTATATTGAAAAATGAGTAATCTTTGCTGAAATTAGACCCTTTCACATGCAACAACCACTTTTATACTCCGCATATAAGTTCATCATTACATATCGCAGTTACACTATTGAAATAGTGTTGGTTGTCACCTGTGATCAATATGAATTTTGCAAAAGTTAACATACGGAAAAAAGATAATTTACCGACACAATTTTCCTGATATCGATATTAATGACACATTATTGATACAGAATGAGATTTGCTGATTTTAAGTACCATCACTGGATATCGCAAAGAATAAATATCTATGAATATGAATAAAATATTTTGAAAACAAAGAATAAATGGTACCTAATTAAAGATGCCGTTTTACTTATGCTGTTTGTACATCATCTGCACAAGTGTATAGACTATAGTGTACGTTGGTTGTACATGTAGTATTGAACAACAGTACTAAAATATCCTAGACCTCAATTCATTACACAAAAGTAGCAGTAATATTTTTTTTAATATTTATTAAAAGATTAATTTAAGAAATCCGAAATACCTCAGTATAATTATATTTTCTACGAGTCTTCCTCAATGTACATGTGTATGTGCTCTTACTATAGTCCACAGGCCTTTAGATCGCTTAGAAAAAAATTGCAAAAAAAAAAATAAAGGAATAGAACTCTTTTCATAGGGTACCTACTTTCGCCAAAAAAATTCTTTTAAATCAGATGCTTTACAATTTTACTTTCTATCCATATCTATTCAAATATAAACAATCTTCATTACTACCAAAGTTCATTCCGTAATTCCTTATACTTCTCGAGATATTCTGAAATCAATTCTCAAATTGACAATAATTTTTTTACTCGACGTCAGCTTGGGCCTTCACTAATTGTAAAGCGGGAACGAGGGGACAAATTTTATTCTAAACTCGATGAATAGTTGCTCATTTGCATTCAAGCTTTACAAGGTTTTTCTTTAATTTGATCATATGATGTAACTAAGTCATAAACAACATTTTAGCGGTCTAATAGTTTTGAAAATCGAAAGGTATACAATGCATTCCGGGAAAAATTCGTTCTACCATGGTTTCATTCACATTTATAATCAACATGGCGGTAGTTGTTGATGTAGACGTTTTCAAATTAATTTTTCGCGAAAGGAATATATTACGGACTTAACATTACAATCTGGAGTAAGAAATCAACTTTAAATTGTTGAAAGATATTGCGAATACTATGCAACTCTTCGCCGCACTTCAAACACCATCTGTTTACATGTGAATGGCTAGGGGCCCAAGCTAATGTCGAGTAAAAGAAAGTAGGTCATTTTTGAAATTGATTTCAGAATATCTCAAGAAATATACGGAATTTCGGAATGAGCTTTGGTAGAATTGAAGAATGTTTATCTATGAATAGATTTAAATAGAAAGTAGAATTTTAGAGCATTCGAATAAAAAATATTTTATTAGCGAAATTAGGTACCCAGTGTAAGAGTTCAGTACCTTTATTTTTTTTTTACACACACAATTTTTTTTAAGCGATCCAAATGCCTGTGCTATAGTCATAGTGCGACCCCTTCAAACAATAATATGACAACCATAAAAAATACAATAAAATGTATATACATACATATAGACATATGTTTGACATTCAGCTCATGCATACATACATGTATATTTATTAAATCTTATGTATATTTTGGACACAAAAGCCACCCCCCCCTTCTTAAATCCGCCAGCCTTGCAGTGGCATGGTATGCATATCAAAAAATTAAAATATTAATAGCTGAAACATTAAGGAAAATTCTTACAAATTAATTCAATACATATAATTTTTTTGTTCTTTAATTGAAGCGGCCTTAGTATAAAATTTTAACATCATTGTTTCATTTCAGGTGTGTAGCAAAGTTATCCTGTTATGGTTGCCTCTAATCATAATCTTCAGATATTTTCTTTTAGATTTTAGTTCTCTCACCATGGATCATTTAGTTACATGTATCAAAATTTTGCCCCCACTTTTTTCAGACACTGTATAAGCTTTTAACTCAATAATTGTCATTTCACCTATAAACTTCAAAACCTATGAGTGAGGAAGGGAAAAATTAAACAAACGAAATCCTCGAAGAAATGAGTATTTACTCATCGAAGGCACTTGAGTCGGGAATAAATTTTAACCCATAGTATAATAATAACACGTTATTACATTGGGTCAAAAATTTATTACAGAAACAAGTGCCTGTTTACTAATTTATGAATTAAAATACGGTCAATATTTGTAATCATGTAGGCTTATTGTTTCATAATAGTTTTAAGTAAACTTTTCACTTTACATGAAAGAATAGACTCTTAGAGGCTTCACATGTTGTCTATTTCTATATATGGATTGTATAGTTTTGCTAAAAGTAAAAGAACACATTAAAATACATGTATCTTGACTTTTCCGAGTGCCAATTTCTCCGAGACCTCCGAGCACGGTATACGAACTTCAAGCAGCCTAAAGTTGTAAGTTGTGTAAAAAAAATGTACTGCATGAGAGAGGATAAGTTTGAACTTGATTAATTCCCCTTCCAAATCAAACCGCTTGTCAAGATCTTTCAGGGTAAGTTTATTTTATTCTACCCCCGCCCCCTTTCAAAAGCAAAATAAATGCGTACGTCACTTCTATGTCGGCGAAGAGACAGGACATAACTAAATCAACTTGTATTTAAAAATGAGGGATTAAATATGCATAAGATATACCGTTTATGATAACGTAACATTTGTGTAATTTAAGGGATTTAATCTAGCTGAAATCATATTTTCCGTTTCGTTCCGCGTTTTAGCAACACCCGGAAAGGGGGATGCTAATTCGGTTAAAAAAAAAAAAAAGAAAAGATTTGTACCCTAAATCCAGGTATAGACCGCTAAAATGTTGTTTATTCTTTTCGCTTACTGTGAGAATCATACATACAACACGTTCAATTGTCAGAAAAATGAAGATACAATGAAGCCGTGATATATTTTTTTATGCTACATTCCTTACCAAGCGAGGAATTTTTGCGAAAAATAAAAACAACAGCTAAAGTGCACCAGCAACTTAAAAATTTTAAACCAAATAAAATATGCGAACACTGTACTAAATACATATATTTGGAATAAATATGTCATCGGCTGCTAAAAAGTGGGGATTCTCAAAAGAAAATCCATGAGCGATTATACATGTACTTATCCGACAAAATTGTCAAATAGTATTGAATATATATAAACTTACGACGGTTGTCCCAGAAAACGCGAAAATTTTTAATAGCTTTAGTTTCACTTTGACTATAAATTAAGAAAAAATTGCATAAATCATTATCAAGTAGTCAATAGTAAATCAATAATATTTTCCGAACAGGTTTTATAACTTTTTTTTAAAGCAAATTGAAAGAATACCTGCTGTTATGATATTCAGTCTGAACCAAAAGTTCGATTTACATGTATACCCCCCCCCCCCAATCCAATCCCCTTTCCAAACAAAATTTCACAACATTTACTGATAATTCATTTTCAGTCTTATTAAGAATAATTTTACAGTCCTATTAAAACCAAAATATATTGTATGGAATTTATAAATTATATGAACTAATTCAACTCATAATGGAGGGAGGGGGGGTGCATTTAAATTTCAGTTCCTCTGTCACCAAGCAGGTATAAATGAATATATCACAGAAAACAGTTTTCATGTACCCATTATATAATTAACAGTTTACTAGGCGGATACTTTTTTAAATCAAGATCGAAATTTCTCGCATTCTTTTTATATGTTTTAATATCTTTATGAGTAAAATTGACCATTAGAAGGAGGAATTCTCCTGTATATACGCATTAAATAATCATAGTCTTCCACGCTATTGTTCCAATAGATCTAAATATTAATTTTATTGACATTCGAGTTTTTTCAACTGTTTGTACACCTTACTTACCATATTTTTGAGAAGTTATTTTTTTTGGTACTAAGAACAGCCCGGGACACTCGAATTTTTCCATCAGTATGTAATCTTCACTAGATTTTTCTCAATTAATTTAACAGAAACAGTTGATATTATTTTTATTGAGACCTGCAATTAAATTGAAAATAAATATCCACGAGAAAAGTGTTATTGAATCAGCAACTTAATTTCTTCAATATATAATAAAAACTGTGTCCTAGCGAATAAGTTGAAATCTTCAGATTACGCTTATTGTACACGTTATATGTATGACGTCGCGTCAAAATTCTTCGTAAATTCTTGACGTTTTGCCATAAAAGGTACAGTATTGAGCGTTATTTTTGCAATGCATATATTTGAGACAGGTATATAAATTATATATCATTTAATTCTACAAATTCTAAGGTTTTTAAAATGTTTTGTATCGAGCAGGTCTGACAAGCGGCATTTTTTGGCCAATACCGTACTTTGTTCTTTGGAACAAAGGACATATTTAATTTTTATCACAACACACTCTAAAATCACTTTAAAAATTTTTGTTTAAACTGATTATCATGTTTAATCTCAATACGCGTTTCTTTTTTGTTGAGTATGGAAAGGATATCTAGATAGCGTGATATGATATTTGCTTCACGTAGTTAAAATGGAATACATACGAGAGTCTTGCCGAGCAAATATACACTATTTCAACACGTTTAATAAAGCAAATAATAAATGATACAATTAATCACACAAATTATACTACTTGTAGTTCAATGGTGGGTTATAATGCATTCAGTCCATTGTAAGAAAGCATTGTTGACTGTGACTATGAGACTTCTCTGCATGCAAAAAAAAAAATTGATTCTTTCTTCGCACTACGTATACACAGACGTAAACGAATATGTTTTCTTGCTTATAACATTTTTTGTGTTAATTTTCATTATTATTTTAGATCAAGAGTTTTGTTCATCATCGGTATTTATTGAAGAATTTTCACAAATCATATTATTGATAAATTAAAATCTTGAAGCGAGGGATTGTTCAAAACGCAGGTACTATAAGGCTTCCCAGAGAATATTGTAGTGTACTCTGTGCATGCACTTCTCTAAACTACAAAGGTATGACGTCATAATTGAAAATGACGTCAAGTCACTGCAGCTACTTGAGCTGTAAAGATGGGGAGAGTGTCATAAACTTTACGTGTATTTCAATCTGCATATAAAGATGCAGAATACTAGTTTAAGTTAGACGTGTTTTTATCATTTTTCAAAAATTTAATAAAACCGAATAATTTAGATAACTCTGCTGTATTACTCTTGTTTAAGAGTCAGCGTGTTAAAACTACGTACGAAAATATACGTTTGACATTTACCCTTTTTTAAACCCGTGGAGTGAGACAGAATTCATAATATGTGTATAAAAGAGCCTGGCGGAAGAGCTTGTGGAAATATGTAAGAAGAGTTTCCCCTCTAACTGAATCCTGCTTGGGAAAAATGTATGATGGCTTTGTTTTAGAACAGATGACGATATTCAGCGAAAAATACCGATTTGTCGGTGAGTTGACGTTAATGTGAAATAAATTGTACCAAAGAAATAGAATAACTTTTCCCAAGCACATTTCGGGTTCACAAGAATCCAACAAGTTTATTTATGTAACAAAAAGTTAATAATTGTGTTAATAACCTTCGCAGAAGCGATTTATGTAAAACATTCTAAAACAGAAGAAATGACCGTCACGTGATCAGCGAGGTCATGTGATATCGTTACAAATATGTTTATATATAGCCTAGAGAACTCTCTATATGAATCTGGCATACTGAAGTATATAACTTGAAAATAAAACTTAAAATCAATTTCCAATGCAGTGTTACGTTTTAAATGCATTTTTAGATCCGGGAAGCCTTAACAGTACTGCGAAACCGAGAGTGCTTTTGATTAACCACCTACCGTGGATAAATCATAGTCTTTTCTCATCCTTAGTATTAAACGTATGAAATAGATTATATATAAATGAGGGTTATAAAGGAATATTCGAGTAACTCAAGAATAGTTCGATTATAACGACGATTGTCACATCCTTAGTTCTTATGAGGGATATATTTAAAAAGAATATTTTAATGAAATATGTGGGTAATATAATTTTCGTTCAATCTTCAACACTACTTATATCCTCTGAAATATTTTAAATAACCAGATTGTTCTTATTCATGTTACTTTATTCTATTCTTAGATACTTACAGGTCTCGTAGATTTGTCAACCCGCTTATTGTGATGTTTTTTATGGAGGGTATCCTGTTGTTATCAAGACGTCTAAAAGACAAATTGAACGATTGAATGTTTCGTTCCTTATGTATACATTTAATGTCAGGATTTAAGAAAGAAATTAAAGTGTCTTTTCAGTTCTAATTCTATAATGAAATCGTTATTATTTGCTTTCTCGTTCTTCAGAACTGTGAATTTATTACAAAAATATTATTACACAATTATTACAAATAAATTTGAATAACGAACTCACAGGTCAGTTATTCTTGTCAAATCACTGAATGCATTGTCCTCTATTGTGGATATACTGTTATTGTGTAGATCCCTGAAAGAAATTTAAAGATTGAAAGTCAAGTACAAGTATAAGTATTTGTCACCTAAGAATTCATTACAACTTAAGCTCAATCTTAATATATATATATATATATATATATATATATATATATATATATATATATATATATATATATATATATATATATATTATATATATATATATATATATATATATATATATATATATATATATATATATATATATATATATATATATATATATATATATATATATATATATATATATATATATATATATATATATATATATATATATATATATAGCTTCACAATAACAGAGAAGGTACATTATGTATGTTTAATTTGAACACGTTTTTACTCAACATATTTGTATGACAATCTGATTTAAGCACCTCACATCAAAATAATTATTCCTGTGAATCGTTAGATAGTTCTGTGGTACATTCAATGACCATTTACGCAAATACAATCTAATTAATGAAACATATGGATATAACAAACAGTACTTATCGTAGAACCTACGTCGTATGACATCATGTGTTTAGCCTGTGCTATAATTATTATGACGTCATAATCAATTTAATGTTACTTTTCCCCGTACTTTACAGCTTCAATAGAAATTGAAGTAAATTATTAAAGCAATTTGAAAGTCATGGTATTCATTTTAAATTAGGCTAAAATACCTATTATCAATTTATATATTTTGAATTATAAAGCTAAATGACTTAATACATTTCTCAAATTACAGAAACCTGTAGGCACCTTTCATTTACTATAGATCTTGACCTCAATTTGGCAAATCCATTCTCATGTAATGAAATTACATTGTGATAACTTGTAAATGGTATACAACTAATTTGAGGGAATGCAAAAATCCTAAAAATGAAATCTTCAGTTGCCAACTAAAGAGTATCACTAATACCTTGATATATGTGTCTTGAGTCAAAGATGTGTTAAATACTGTGTATAATTGTTTGATGTCTGTCACGAAGTGCATGCCTTTTCATAGTTATTTGTTAATTATGTATTAATTTTAATTAATATGGTTGGTGTTTGAATAAAATTTTCTATCAAAAATGATCTGTTTAAATAGAAAAATACAATTTTTGATAAATATTAATATTGTGAAAGTGAAAGTAATCCTAATACTGGTAATTTATTAATTAAATCCTGTATAAATGCAAAACGGTCAAGAAATGTAACATACGTAAATAACTTATTTCTCGTTTGTTTGAGGGGAAAGGTAAATTTTTTATTCACTTTTTAAAATCATTTAGGTATGTTCTTCATCATATGAAAGATTTAAACATTCTGACAAAGACATCTGCAAAATATTAACCAATTTAGGATTGAAATTTGACGAAAAATAAAAGAGAGCTCATTTGCCTATTAATTCTTATATGTGGACTAATCTTTTATGTCAGTGGAATAAAAAAGAATTTATTATTGAGAAATTCTGTTTAATACCGTTCAGTTAATAAAGTCGACAATCGACGATGTTTAATTAAGTATTATTGAGATTTTTCATATTCTCTTTATGTCAAGTACCCCTTAAAATGACTCAAAATGTGTAGTCGCAGTATCTAATTACCATTTCATATTCCACAGGCTGCACTACATTCAATAACAAGGAAACATGTCATGTGCTTTTGACGGATTGGTAAGCGAGTGTCATTTTATCATTTTGAAAAGTTGAAGAATCTTGTGACAGACTTTTCCGTCATAGGTTCTACATTATGATAATCACTTAGTACATGTAGTGCATTGTGAAGAGTAAGGAAATGTGATATTAAGTTACTCCCAATATACCCAGGGGACTGAAGTAAGGATTTAGATTTAAGGATCAATAATATTTTGACAATTGCTTACACATGGGATGTTCCATATAGTGTTTTCAAAAGAGGTTATGCCCCTGCGCCCACGTTGTTTTGTTGTTGTATTGTATTACTCGAATGGGAAAGAACAATGACGTCATAATATAACGTCATATGTGTACTAACTTTAACATGCTGTGGATACTATGTATGAATAAAAAAATCAACTTGACATTTCTCTGTATATAAAAATTACAAATTATGCATTTTTTATTAGCTTATTTGCATAGAAATGCCTATATTAAGCCTTAACTCACTTGCGTATTCAACAAGTTTAAAATGTTAGGTATTTGTAGGATCCTCCTTGATAATTACTCATACACTGTGGAGTCATTGATGAGGGTCATGTTAAGCACACGATCATTGAATATAATTTAGTAGGAAATCTACGTACTCTCTAATATCTTCATCAACACTACTCTTACTAGTATTTGGTTTTTCTCCTACCCTGTATTTCATTGAGACACTAAAGTATTGACAGAGCAATGAAAAGGCAAAGAATAGGCTAAACAGATTGGAAGAAAAACAAGTATTTCAAATCGGAGGGGGAGGTATCATGCGTTCCCAATTTATAGGTAAATCAGTACAATCGTATCACTCAGATGGAACACATTTGGCAGTGTTAGCGAATTCAATTTTCCTCCTCAACATTCGGGGGACCTTGGGGATGTTTTGTCAGATCGGTAAGAATAAAGCATTTCCTTATAAATGTTTATAAAGGCATAATCAGTCCATAGATTTAGGTACAGTACCGACCAGACACAACCTAACAGAAAGCGAACCCGGAGCGGACCCCGGGTTCGCTCTCTGGGATTAACCAATCAGTCCGCTCCGGGTTCGCTTGGGGTCCGCTAGGGCTGACCCCGAGCGAACCCGGAGCGGACCCCGAGCGAACCCGGAGCGGACCCCGAGCGAACCTGAAGCGGACCCAGAGAGCGAACCCCAAATTCAGTAGCGGTCCCAGAGAGCGAACGCGGGTTCGGTATTTCTTTACAGAGCTGTCAATCAGGATTAGCGATTAACCAATCAGCGCATCGACCAATCAAAATAGCATATGATCTTTCGATTGGGATATAAGATCGAACGTGTTGATTTAATTCGATATAAATCCAAACACTGAACATACAATCAAAACGTGTGAATGTGCTGTGCAAATCTATTATGATAATTAAAATATTATTTAATATTTATTTATTTTAATTCCCCGGATTGTATTTTATATTTATTTTCTTTTTTTATTAAAGCAATTAATTAATTATATGTTTTAATTTTTTACGTAGAATTTTCTCTGAATATTTACGTTTTTATTTTCTTTAGTTTTTTATACCAGTATTTCGTTTGGCAGAGACACAGTGGTCATTTTAAAGGTTCCCACCCCCACCATGTGGCGGTGGGCAACCTGATTGTATGTCTGCAAATGCATATATTTATAAGGTGCACATGTGGCCATATTGTCACCTTCAAGTTGGTTGTTATGTTGACTGTTGTTGAATTGATGTTGACTATCGTTACGTTGACGTTGATTTGATAATATTTTTATATAGAGACAAATTAAAGTAAAGAGATGTATATCCAATGAAATGTTTGTGCCGTTAGGATGATTGTGAAACCCAACCCAGCATGCTACTCGCCGTTTCGGACGACACATAAAATGTTGTTGTAGGGGGTGAACGCTGTTTTCTGGCGGCCCCAAAGTTGATGTTGTTTTTTGAAATACATATTAATTCGACCATTATGGCTAAAATCTGCCAAACAATTAAAAAATGAAATTTAAATGTGTTTTAAATTCTGAAAAAAATTCAGAAGCAATGTTGTTAATATAAGCATAGGCTTTGTGTAAACCCATGTATATTATAGGTGTCTGGCTAGTATATCCCTTGGTATATATGGTATTACTGCTTGTGATAAACAAAAATTACACCTATGCTTTAATGTATCCCATATAAGGATATAAATATATATAACGAAAAAATACAAATATGACTATAAAAATTGGAAAGAAAAATGGGCGAACAAGCACACCACAAACCTGTCAGTAACTTACAACTTATGGACAAGTGCCCCATCCGGTGAAGACGAATGGGAAACATAAAACCTCACAAGTAACGACTAACAGAGTAAAATTTGTAAAAACCATTAGGTGCACGAATTAACTTCATATTTCCAGCAGGTTGTCAAATATCCATCTACCGTAGCTCTTAAGGATCAGGGAAATTTCTTAGTGGACAACATTACAACTCCAATAAACGGTGGGATGATGTAATTCAATTCAGATATATAAACAAATCCAAATACAAAAAAATGTTCCTATCAGAATGCATGTTCGGGAAATAAACAGGATCAAGTTACAAATCAAAAGCAACAAGAGCTAGAGCAATAGCGTATGTCGCCCGGAACTGTTCCTCTATTTCTATGGCAGCTATTGATAATTTCGGACAAGACTTTCCTTTTTTTTGTATCACTATAACAATACCCATTAGCTAAGCTTGGACGACCATCAAGTCCTATCAGTACTTTGATTTAAAAATAAAAAATGTAAAAGAATTTTCCCTTTCCTTTTGTTTCCATGGCAATAATCGATTATTTCAAAATTTTAAATGCGAATCGCACAACTACAACTACTAATCAATAAAACAAAAAAAAGTTTCTTGACGAATGTTCAAGGGACCAGAGAGAACACTCGCGGACAAAATTCGTCGCTTTTTGCAGGTTTCCATGGCAACGGTAGCCATTTTGAAACTGAATGACCATATGACACAACTACAACCAGTGATCCTCCTTTTGAGGATAGTTTCAGGAATATTGTCCCAGCCATCTCCAAGAAACCGCCTGGACAGCAAAAACATGCGTACAATCGCAATATGTCGCCCGACTTCGTTCGGGGCGACATAATTAAATGCGGCACAGCAAAATTCCGGAAACAGAAACCTAATCATAACATTACAGTTACAGGGTTGGTATAAATTGTTGTATGCTGCAAATAAATACAATGATTCAGTTTCGTGTCAACATGTCAAAATGTAAACCTAAAAATCAAAAAGACAATACAATCGTTCTTGATATTATTGAATCAAAGGACAGAATATTATAATTTTTTGCATTGATTTTCCAAAAAAAAAAAAAAAAAATGGTAAGGAACTCTAAGAAATAGAACGTACAAGGTGCTTAAGTTCGACAAACCAGCAAATGTAGCGTTCTTTATTATAGTTATCTTGTTAGTCTGGAGATATCTGAAAAAAAAAGATGAGAAAAAGTCAAGAGTAAAATTTTTTTTTTTTTTTTAAGGAAAATAATATTTCCTTGATAGTTCACTTTTCGTGAGGATAAAAAAAATACAGATAAGATTCAATCACTACGGATATTACCAGTATTTTTCCTAGCTTAGTTATACCAATACATGGAAGTTAATCAATATAAAAAAGTTTGGGACAGTTTGCCCTTTTTTAAAAACTGTAAAGCGTCAATGATGAATGGATTACTTGGATATCATATCTTGGACTAATGTCTTTTAATATCCAAAAAAATATCTAAAATATCGAATTTTGTCAAATCATTGGAGGGTTAGACATTAAGGCACGTCCGACCGACTGAGTCTAGTCTAAGAAGGGTCCGGGCGGGTAAAATCTCTGTGTACTAGACCGACTGGTCGTGTAAGAAAAATAAAGGAACTTATATATTTTTAAGGACAGATGATACAAACAATTTTTTTCTTCGAAAAAGATTTTATATCATATCACAAGTTTAGAAATGTGGATGGTTCTTAGAATTTTTTCTCCTAAGAACTGGAATATGAAAAAGACTTGGAAAATATTAGTAATATTTCAATGAAAAAACAAATATAACATGGTGCTAAAAGTGTAATATAAACTTAAGAAAAATATAACAAGCCAACTGAATTTTATTAGGAAAATCTAAATTGTAAAAATCAGCCTTTGTGATATGCTAATTTGTTGTCATTTTGATTTCCCTCTTAAAATTCACCTGAAAAATTAATTATCAATGAAAAATGATATCAAAATGTTTCTAATTTACTGCCTAGTAGAAAAAAAACTACATACAGCAGTCATTGTAGGCATTCTTAACTACTCGGCCACTTTTCTAAAAGAGAAACAATTGTCATTGTCGAAAGATTCACGTTTACAACATCGGTAAACTGTGTAAATGGCAATTAAACTATATAATCATATATTTTTAACTATTATACTTAATTTCTCTGAACAATTTTTATGGTATGATGTTGATATTGTATACAAGATGATTAAGTTAAGTAAGGACTAAACACGACATGCTGCATGTAAATGACCTAGTTTCGATGTTGACATGTGTGCTGGAAAATTTCGTATACGAATTACAAAGATTAACCAATGCAATCGAACAGATGATATAAAGGGTTATTCATGAATTATTACTATTTCGTGCTTTAAATATTTTTTTCTTTAGTTTGGTCAGGGCTAGTGCTTAAAGGGTCAGGGCTAGTAAAAATTTGTCAGTGAAGCCCGACTGGTCTAGTATACCAAAAGCTTAATATCAAACCCTGATTATTCATTGAAATAATCACATCAAGTTAAAAACAAGTCTGAACAAGCATTCTTATAAAACTTATCTATAATTCCCGGCTACTCGTCAAATTTCGAACATTTATCAAAACCCTTAAAATTTGAACTAATTTCTTAATCTATTTGAGTCATCATCTAAAAGTGCTAAACAACAGATATACACAGTAAACGAAACTGTGTGTTGAAGTTGGGGTCCTTTGATTTTCATGAATATCAAAAAAAAATCACTGACAGGAACACATTAAAGCTTTCGTAAACACCGAGCACATGTTTGTTTATGGTCGAGTATGAAATATAATGTATATTTTATACGTGTAAAGGTTGAGTAAAAAAAATCTTTGTTGAACAACCTTGTGTTCTGTATTTTCTTATAATGATGGTGATTTTGAACCTCTTTGCCGACTTTATTTACATGCGATTAACGTCTTCATGGCCTGTTTAAAATCATAACAAACCACGTGGATTTGTGTCGCTACGGGCAAATGCCCCCCAGTAAAGGTGCAAGCTAGCTCTCAAGTTCAATTTTATATCGGTCAGCATGGACGTGTTTGGTTAATCATATAATGTTGCATTGCCAAAGTTTTGTAAATAGAAAGTTTTATTTGTAGTTTATTGTGAATATTGAACATATAGTTCATCTTTGGAAAGAAAATATCACATCACGAGTGTTCTATTTTAGTATCTAATTAAAAAGTCTACGCCCATTTCCATTTAAAATAGAAAGCGTAGTCTGATGGGTGAAAATGTGATATGGGTGTTAAAAATTGGCTTGTATTCTTTGATATGTTTAATTATTCATTATAAATACACAATGCTTTAATTAGAAATATTTTCTTATACACAATGAAATCCTACAAAATACCCTATTCTAAAATTTAACCAGTAAATTAGAAGTGTAAAAAG